ACACAAAATTGAACTGAACTGGAAGCCTTCATTTAAAGTAATGACTGCTTTAGTAGGACTGCTTCCATATTTGCATGCTTTATACTTCCAGTTAACTGGATTTGTACCTATTCTGTGCCTTTTTAGTATTATATATGAAGTAATCATGTCTAATATTGGTACTCTGCCATATTTTCAATACTTATTTAAGTAGATGCGTTTTTTAAAGGCACAACTCATCCATACATAATCTGTACTACTTTTTCCAGGCTGAAGATGGGACACCTAATGTTACAGTTTTATCCCATGAAGGAAAGGATGCTATGTCACTGTTTAGTCCTTCTGTCAAGCCAGGTAAAGATGCTTTTTTGTGTGTTTCGAAATGCAGTATATTAACTTCTGAAATAGTTAAGATTCCTTAGTGGTTTTTATAACACTTCACACATGTTTTTCTCTCTTTTTGAAGAATTAGAAAGCTACTTGAAATGGCTGCTTTCTTTTGTGGGCTTTGCAAAGAAATAAATATGTTAGATATAAAATCCAAAATACCTTTAGTGGAAAATAAGAGCCTTTTTTCACTTACGCATCTACTAGCTCAGTTTCTTGTTTTCTCTAGTTCTAGGTGTAGTATTTAAATGCTGTTTTAATACCTGACTTTGACTAATGTATATAGGAACTATAATGTTATGGTGAGAGTAAAATGTATGCGTTCTTTGTAGAACAACGTACTGCTGCTCATGCTCGTACTGCATCAACTAGCCTAATTCATGAAACAGACTTGGTGGTCTCTTACACTGACCTTGACAATCTCTTCAACTCTGATGAAGATGAATTAACAGTAAGTAGCTTGCATGAGTAATGGCTCTAGCTGTGAGTAAAGGTTGTTTGAAATCTGCATGTTTTGTGGAAAGAAAAGAAAATTCTATTAAAGTAATGATGTGGTTATGACAGTCATGGCTGACTGGGAATAACCCATAAATTGTGTTAGAAAATGTCAGTCTTGTACCCTTATTGTGCAGACAGCATACTTGCCTTAGACTGCTCTGTCGGATAGGCCATCCCATTGCAGTGCTCGTTTTGAGAGAGTTTCTTACTGCAGGCACTAGCTGGGCCAAATTTCTTACAAAGTGAAGATTGTGAAGGTTATACCTTTTTTGTAATCAGTTGTTACTTCATGATTCCCATGTCTTCTGACGCAAGTCTCCAGAAGTAATCGGTCCGTGGAGGGCTTAGTTTATAATCCTTACTTTGATGGAAACTTCGTCTTTTTTCAGAGGCAAAGTTTGTCTGAGTAAATCCTACAAGCACGTGAAAAAAGGTCATCACAAAAAAATTAAATGCACCTCTTCAAGCTGATTAGAAATTTCTGTAGACTTTATTCTTCTTAGATGTGGTCAAGTACGTTTCCATTCTCTCCGGTTGGTTTCCGTTTCCACACTCATCACTCCTTCCAAGAGATTTGCATAGTCACTAGATTAAATACTATTTTTTTTGCCTTTTTAATGATTCTGCAAACACTTTATCCTAGTGGGAGAGAAGTTGAGGATTGGCTTTTGGTAACTGACCTTGTGTTTTGATATGGGTTATCCAGAGAATGGTTTCCCATCAAATAACAGTTAAAAGGGGATAACGTAACTGTAGTCACTTGTGTGACCCTTTCTAACTTTACAAAGGATACAGTCAAGTTGTTCAAGTGCACACAACTCTCATTGGCCTGAGTGGTTTATGCTGCACAGAGAAGCCTTCTAAGATTGAACTTGAGTCCTTGTGTAACTGTAGCAGTAGTGCCTCTCTCACTGTAGCATTAAAGTTGAAGTATTACAGTCCCCTTACTGTGGATGCAGTTGTATCGGTGTCAAAGTACCTTACTGGTATAATTTTAGTCCCGTGTGGGGAGAATAAACCAGACTAGAATAAAACAAAATTATCTGTAAAAGCATCTGAATGAAGTGCAGACTTCATCTTACTTAAATTGTATGGTTTTTAATATTTTTACAAGTACAAAAATGTTGATTGCCTGAAGACATGGATAAGTTTGAGAGAGATTCTTGAAAATAAAGGTTCATCATGGAAAAAGCAGTTGGCTCTTCTGCAGCATTGGCACCTGGTAAAACATGGCAACTCCCGAACAAGGTCTAAGGCATAGTCCCATTAGTTGCGTGTTTAAGTCATGCACCTAGGAAGACTTTAACCTGCACTTTTCTTTTCATTCATTGGCACTTTTCATTTTTGGCAACTCTAGGGGGAAAAAAAATAATTTCATAGCAGTTTTCTTTTACTATTAGGTCAGTGCTGTTCATGTAAAAAATGAAATCCTGGAAGTTTGACTCAAATTCAGGTGGTAGGCATTCATCTCGTGGTGAGCTTTTGTTCATAAATTTGATTTTCAGATTGAGAAGTTTGGTTGTGCTATTGCCCTTTTAATTTGATTACAGATGGATTCCTACCTGGAAACTTCTGCTCACACCATTTTAACTCCTCTTCTTTTTATAGCCTGGATCTAAAAGAACTGTGAATGGCTCAGATGACAAACCCAACTGCAAAGAGTCAAAAACAGGAAATCTTGACCCCCTGTCATGCATAAGTAAGCTTCCCCCTCCTTTTTAGTTATGATACTAATTGTAATTAAGGTTTTAAAATCTAGCTCGGTTTTGAAATCTGTGCAAGACGTGAAAATGAAGGAAATGGGTACTCATGGAATGTTTCAAACAGGTACTGCAGATCTTCATAAGATGTATCCAACACCACCATCTCTGGAACAGCATATTATGGGTTTTTCCCCAATGAATATGAATAATAAAGAATATGGCAGCATGGACACTACACTTGGAGGAACTGTACTTGAAGGGAATAGCTCAAGCATAGGAGCTCAATTCAGAATTGAAGTAGATGAGGGGTTCTGCAGTCCAAAACCTTCTGAAATCAAAGTAAGTAATGCTGCATTTTCTAAATACTCTGTTAATTATTAGAAAAACTATGGTAATCTCAGTCCCTGTGTTACATGGTGTAGAGGTAGATGAAGCACAATGTCTCAAGTTAAGAAAGCACTAATTATTTGGCTCTGAAACGTGTAACAGAAGAATAGCTCTTTGGCTTGAGTCATGAGTAAACTGAAAAAAAAATAATTTTAGGTCATTATCTATAATTTTAGATTGCATGTTGGCATATAATAAATTGTAGTACCAGAACCAGAGTGACTTAAAAGGATAGGAAAGATAACCACACTTCAACTTCTCAGTATTCCTAAAATTATAGGAATTAAATGTTAAATAATAGTAAAAGAATGACACTTTTTAATTGGTTACTTTAATCACTTGTAGTAGCTTTTTTTGTTGCTGACTGTATAATCCACTCTATTTACCAGTTAATGCTTTCACTGCTTAATTTCTAGGATTATTCTTATGTTTACAAGCCTGAAATTTGTCAGGCTTTGGTAGGATGTTCCATGTTTGCACCGCTGAAGACTCTCCCTAGCCAGTGTCTCCCTCCTATCAAACTGCCAGAAGAGTGCATTTACCGTCAAAGCTGGGCTGTTGGAAAGCTGGAGCTACTTCCTCCAGGACCTGCCATGCCGTTTATCAAAGAGGGGTATGCTCTGTGCTAGCTAGTGATACAGATTTTCATGGCATTCATTTTTTTTTTTTCTTTTTAACTTTTATAATGCTATAAATAATACCCACATTCTAGAAGACATCTCTTTTAATGAAAATGGATGGCTTTTATTTATAACCTGTAGTGAAAAACAGTTTGAAAGGGCTTTAACTGGTTAAAAAAAACTTAACGAACTGACTAAATTTAGGATTTAAAAACTATTTAAAGATGCTTTCTTTGCTAAAATGTAACTATGTATACATCCTATTCATTATCTCATTTAATGGCTTCTTGGGGAATGGTATAAATCCAATTTTAATAAGCAACTAAGATTATAACAATTGAGTTAAATACAAGTCCGGGACTCTATGCTCTTACAGTAGCATCATGGATACCACAAGGACTTAGCAGGTGGCTTTTGTTTCGTAGAGTTCTTTTCCTTTAGTAGTGGCTTATTAATATTGGAGTTGAGGGGGGAGTTGTTCCCTACAACTGGAAACCTGTTCTTAATGTGACATGCACTGATGGTGGTGATATAGCATCACAGCGAGGTTTCCTGTAAATTGCTTTTGGTCTGGTAGTTCTGAAAATCATGTTTTCATTCCTCTCTTTGAGGAATATTCTTTTTCCCTGCTCCTCTGCGCAAACAGCTTTTGTAGTTTGATTAGGGGATAACATATTTGTAGTTTGGAATCTAATGAGACATCTTCTGTAAATTAAGCCACCACTTAAATAAAATAGGCTGCTTCTGTTCGCTTCTGCATAGGTCTGACCCAGTATGTTTTTGGGTTTCTTAAACCCCGTCAGTCTGCTGATAAGGGGAAGGAAAGTGGAAATGTTTGAATGATCCTTGCCTCGTAAAACCAGCAATCTGGTGCTGAGAAATCCAGTATATTTTCTTAGTGATGCGTGTGAACATATTGTATAAACAGAGTTGAGAAGAGAAATGTGCTTTTCATTTTGTGTGTGAGAGATCCATTTTCCTAGAAGTACTTTTTGGAGTTTTGGAGCATTTTAGTGCTGCAGTCAACATGAGTTTTACATAGAACAAAAGTGCTCGGGCCTCACTTGACCAGGACAATCTTATTTTATATTGATGCATATCACATGTTGCTGTGATCTTTAGTACCTTTTCTTAAAAGTTAATCTGGGGAGTTTTGTTTAAAACTTGATACTTGTAGTTCAAGAATAACTATTTCACTTTACAACTGTTTCCTCCCCCTTCTTATGGCTGTTCTCAGTGATGGAAGCACTATGGATCAAGAGTATGGTCCTGCCTACACCCCACAGACTCATACTCCGTTCGGGATGCCGCCAAACAGTGCCCCTCCCAGCAACAGCGGAGCAGGAATTCTCCCTTCCCCATCCACCCCTCGGTTCCCAACTCCTAGAACACCAAGGACACCTCGCACCCCTCGTGGAGGCGGTGGACCTGCCAGTGCTCAAGGTTCGGTCAAATATGAGAATTCAGACTTGTATTCACCAGCTTCCACACCATCAACATGTCGGCCCCTTAATTCTGTGGAACCTGCAACTGTACCTTCCATCCCTGAGGCTCACAGTCTTTACGTGAATCTCATCCTCTCAGAGTCGGTAATGAATCTCTTCAAAGACTGTAACTTTGACAGCTGCTGCATCTGTGTCTGCAACATGAACATCAAAGGTGCTGACGTTGGAGTATACATTCCAGATCCAACGCAAGAGATTCAGTATAGGTGTACCTGTGGCTTCAGTGCTGTCATGAATAGAAAGTTTGGCAACAACTCTGGGCTGTTCCTTGAAGATGAGTTGGATATTCTAGGGCGTAATACAGAAGGCGGCAAAGAAGCAGAAAAACGTTTTGAAGCCCTCCGAGCTACTTCGGTTGAGCATGGTGGTGGTGGATTGAAAGAACCTGAGAAATTGCCTGATGAGTTAATACTGTTGCTGCAAGATCAGTGCACCAATTTGTTTTCACCGTTTGGAGCAGCAGATCAAGATCCCATACCCAAAGTTGGTGCAGTTAGCAACCTAGTACGTGTAGAAGAACGGGATTGTTGCAATGACTGCTACCTAGCATTGGAGCATGGACGCCAGTTCATGGACAATATGTCAGGAGGAAAAGTTGATGAAGCACTTGTGAAAAGTACTTGCTTGCATCACTGGTCAAAAAGAAATGGTAAATATTTATTGAAAAGAGCTTGTTTTTCTTCTCTGAAGACCTGTTTCTTGTCACTTCCAAGCAACTTTAAAACACGAATTAGGGGATTAAAATTGATACTTGACCTATTACTTCCATATGCATGCTTGGATAAGCTTCTGTTGCTGCCTTATTGCTAATCTCTGTCCTTTTTAGGTCTTAAATTGGTGCCTTAGCTAAGTTACCTTTGCCTAGAATCGGCTCTGAGAACCTGTAAGACTGCAATACAGATAAGAAATGCTGTGCAAGCCCAAAGTCTTTTTGTTCATAGCATTTTATCAGGTTTATTCCTTCATTTGGTATTCTAGCCTAACTGTGAAATACTGAAAGCAAGCTCACAATGCCTGGGTGGCACTGAACACTCATCGCAGCATGTGTGGTTCATTGGAATGAAATTTTTTAAAGTGCTAATAGGATTCACATGACTGATGCTTAATTATGCCATGTATTGTATTAATATCTTGGAACGCATTATCTCCGTCACACGTTTGAAGAGAAGTTGCGGTTGATGTTTTGCAGTTTTAGCTACCCTGACATTTGCAAGAGTTAAATGTCATCCGTATAGTGAGAATTTAAAGAAACAGAGCAATTGTCCTCTGAAACTAGTCACCCTTGTCTGCAATGATAATTTTTAATGTTTTTTTTTTTCTTTTGTCATTCAGCGATAGCAGCATGGTGACTAATCATAATTTTATAGTCAGCTTATGCTTGGAGTCCGCTTGCACCATGTCTGTCCATCTTTGCTTTAGTTTTGTACTGTTTGTTTTCCTGTTGCATGGACACTTTTTGATCACTTTCTGTGTAACTGAATTTTTAAATAACTCTTTCACGCCAGGGATCAAATGAATTTCCTGCTACCCTTGATCCGTTCATTAAGAGCAAATTTTCAGGCAAAGATCTGTTTTGCTTCAGCCCACTCAGATATCCTAATCTCTGTGCTGTCATCAGTTATAATCGCAAAATTGTGATGTGTGATGCTGTTTCCATTTCGGCTTCCTTCTTTCTTCTGTCATACACACTTAATGTTTGTAATGTTGAGTATTTGGTAATCAGCTTTATTCATCTCTGTGGTGTGAAATAACACATTTTCTTAAATTGGAAAGTGGCTTCTGCATGTTGTAGTTAAGGGATCCTTAAACTTTTTTTGGCAAGCATTGACCTCTTCATGTGCATAATCATAGATCTACCTTCCTTCACTTTAATGGTCTAGTAAGGTCCCTGTTGCAACTCCAGCAATGGTTAATAGAGAGCTAAGCTCTGGCAGCGTTCATTTGCAGCTTAATAGCTTGCAAGAAGGAATTGTGCCAGGACTGTAGGATAGCCAGCTTTCTGCACACCATCAATAAATGTTCTCTGGCAGGTCAAGTTTGGGAAGCCCTGATGTAGTAAATCTCAGGATTTTGAGGCACAAGTAAGTCCCAAGTACTATTATTATCTGGATGATAACCCTTAAAAAGATGGCTACTTCGCTCACCTGCACATTTTATGAGCGTCAGGGGTGTGTGATAAGTTGACAGATGTAGTTCAGTGAACGTTGTTTCTGGGATTTCCCCTATAACATAATGAGTGGCGTGATAGGGGCCAGTCTCTATATACACATCTCTACACAAGGAATGAAATACTGAAATTCTGAAAACTTTAACGGTTGATTTTGAATTCTAGTTTCATAGCTCAGATTTAAAAGGTAGGTGGATGAAAAAGTGTTCAAGGAAGGGCTGTCAAATGAAAACATGGAGACCATGACACTGATGGTTTGGGGGGAATCTCTAATTTTTAATTTGCTGTTACTTTGCTACTGCCCCCCAGGCTTCAGTGGACATGTGTGGTCTGAACAGATAGAATATGTAGGTTTTAGAAGAAATGACTTCTTGCTTAAACCCCAGAAATTCAGCTTAAAAAAAAAAAAAAAAAGGCTCTGTATGTCTGAATGCAACAGGTGTAATTTTGTCTTAAGTTATGACAGTGTTTTCTCTTCTTCCAGTGGTGGATGTGAGCATGCAGTGTTCACAGGACATCCTTCGCATGCTCCTCTCACTACAGCCAGTTCTCCAGGACGCTATTCAGAAAAAGCGAACAGTCCGATCTTGGGGTGTGCAAGGCCCTCTCACCTGGCAGCAGTTTCACAAAATGGCTGGCAGAGGCTCCTATGGTAAGCGGCCTGTGTAAACTCCCCTTCATTAATTTGTCCTTGCAGTAGGCCACCAAACCTGAATGGTTAGATGTGATTCAACCAACTGGAATTTTAAGTCACTTTTTTATCTTTCTTTACCATGGCCAGAAGCACTGGTCAGGGGGTATTCTTTCCCTTTCAAAATAGAAAATAGTTTCCTGAATACAGTGAGTGATTTTTAAGATGGTGATATATTTGGAATTGCCCAATTGCCTTAATTGTAATGTTTGGAAGGGAAGGGTTCTCTAACATTATTGATTAAAGTGGCGATAGGATTAAAGCAAAAGAAATAAAACTACTAACAGATATTTCTCTAAGCATTCAAACATCATTCAAGAGCTCCTGTTGGTTCTTATCCATGATAGTATTTGAGGTGATGTAGACCAGTTTGTATCTCTTATTTAAAAAAAAAAAAAAAAAGGAAAGAAAAAGAACAGCCAGAGTCTGAAATCTGATTCATAGAGATGAAAAATAAATATTGCAAATTTAAACCACCATAAAAATTCTGCTCCCTTCGTTAATACCCATCAGATAGTAACACATTACCACAATGCATCATCCAGTGTTGGATTCACTAACATGAAGGAGGATGACCTTTTTATCAGCAGACTTCTGATAGTTATCATATAATTTATAACAAACAAATGACTCAAAGCCCAGCGAGCTGTGCGTATATCTGACGTGCTTTCCTCATAGCTTTGCTTCCCTTTTCCTTACTCCACCCCCACCTTTTCACGTTATGTCTTTGAGGATAATCTGTTTTACATAGGGACTGTTCTTAACCATTTATAAGCTTCCTGGCACAATGGAGGTCTGTTCCTGAATAGGCTATATGGTTAGTGCGGTAACACAACCGTGGAAGAATAATATGAAAGCTCTTCTCGTTGACCTGGGAGGTAACAAATAGAAGTACTTGTCTCCTGTGTTGGGCCAGATCATGCTTGCCTAGTCACACTGCGCCTTAATGAACAAATTTTAATCAGCATTGGCTTTCGTCCTTGATATGCCTGAACGCTAGTATTTCTGTTCACATTTGCTAGAAGCAGTGTATTGATTCTGCTACTTTCCTGTTTTACTTTAAATAAGTAGGAAAATGCATCTCTCTCCTTTAGGAACTGACGAGTCCCCAGAACCACTGCCAATTCCAACCTTTTTGCTGGGATACGATTATGACTTTCTGGTGCTGTCTCCATTTGCCTTGCCATACTGGGAGAGGCTGATGTTGGAACCCTATGGATCTCAAAGAGATGTTGCTTATGTTGTGGTGTGTCCTGAAAACGAAGCCCTGCTGAATGGAGCAAAAAGCTTCTTTAGGGATCTGACTGCAATTTATGAGGTATGTTAGCTGGAGGAAAATGCAGCGCAGTAGATAATTCAGAGGCTGTGCCTAGTCAAAGTATTTTTTGAACTTGCCTCCTAAATGTGCATAAAACTCTTCATGGGGCCTGTGAAAAGGACATTAGGAATAAACATTTGTAAGATAAGGTAGTGCTTGCTAATGTCTTTGGCAGTAGCTTTCTTCCAAGCAGCCTTTTTCCCCCGGTACCTGATACATGCCATCAAGTGGTAAAACGGTGTTACTACCATTTCAAGTTAAGCAAGAGGCAAGGATTTTTTGGGGGTGATATCTTTTATTGGACCCATGGTATAGTTGGGGTGAAGTTAAACAAAGAAGGCTTTGCATTTGAAAGCTTTTCTAACTTTTCTCCCAACTATACCTTTGGTTCAATTTAAAAAAAAAAAAAAAAATCACCTCAAAAAATCCTTGCCCCTCGCACAATTCCTGGACCATTGCAGCTACAACAACAAATAACTACAAAATACGAATCCAGCGCATTTAAACACTTACGTTCCATTGAGAAGATTACTCTGGATGGTTATACCTTGTTTTTTTCCTATGGTTTCAGAAACCTGAAGGTAACCTTAAAGCAACAAACAGGCCATACATATTACAGAAGTGTTCAGTATTACTGGGATTATAAAGCATTTGTTTTCTCATCACATGATTTGACATCTAGGACTTTTTATCTTAAAGAATTACTGTAGTGAATTCCATGTCTCATTCCTTATAACTTGGGAAGCTTGTGAACTCATTGCTGTCTCCCTTTATTTTTCTTTTTTTTTTTTTTAACTTTTTTGCAGTCCTGTAGACTTGGCCAGCATAGACCTATCTGTAAACTGCTGCCTGACGGGATCATGAGAGTAGGATCCACTGCTTCAAAGAAACTTTCTGAGAAGTTGGTTGCAGAATGGTTCTCTCAGGCAGCCAATGCCAACAATGAAGCATTTTCCAAACTCAAGCTGTATGCGCAAGTTTGCAGATATGAGCTGGGTACTGTGTTTTTTTTTAAGCTTTTCATGTTAGTTCATATCCCTCACTCATGGGTATTATGGAGGTGTAATTGTTTTTTTTTTTTTTAATTTTGTCTGTAAACACGTATAGACAAAGATTCATATGAATACACATTCACAAAAATGACTACTTTAGCTGTTGGCAGTGTCCTCAGGGCTAGTCTGTCACACTTCTGCCAACCAGTGGTGGTAACTTGGTTAGATTCGCCACTCCAATGGCCAGCTCAAACCCAATGTGGCTGAAACCGGAGTTCATTCTTAGCCCTCCCCTGCCCCTCTTCCCAGTGAATTATTGCTATAAAGGGGCATAAAGCAAAAACTATTTTGGAAATTTAAAATAAAAATGAAGTATTGGCATTCTAATTTTGGGAGGTGTACAAAGACAAATTGACTGAGGTTTTGTTTAAAAAAACGGTTTGCTTTATTAAAAATAATAATAATTAAATGTCAATTTTCTAATTAATGTTTACTCTTTTGTTTTAGGTCCTTACCTTGCCTCTCAGCCACTAGACAGTTCTTTGCTTTCTCAGATAAATCTAGTTCCCCCAACAAGCCAATCTGTATCCACACAGCCTCAAGCAGCAGGTAACACTGGAAACTCCAACACTCCTTCATCCACCCCTGTAGCTGCTACCAGTAGTACCATGACTTCAAACAGTGCCATGTCTTCTGCAGCTACTACAACTAATTCAACTCTGACCACTACTGCTGCTTCATCCTCTTCCACCAACATAGGCAGTGGGCTATCAGCAAACAAACCTTCCTCGTTTCCACCTTTTAGCAGCATGAACAGTACTACTTCTGCCTCCCTGCCAACACAAGCTACAACAGTCCAGAATGGGCAGCCAGGGGGACAACAGCAACAGGCAACTCTGCAAGCTGCTGGGATACCTGGGGAAGCCTCCTCTGCCCCTGCACAGCCGCACCCTGAAGTCTCAGAAAGGTAGTATGTCAGAGGTTTTTTTTTTATAATGCTCCAGGCAAAAACAGTAGTTGTTAACCTTCAACACATCTCCATTTCAGACAGTTGAGAGGGACAGCGTTAACACAAATCTCTGCGTGTGTTTTCAGATGTCCAGTTATCACACAGAGGTTGGTCCTACTCCTGGGATTTGAAACCCAGTTTTTCAGCTTGAGTCTTAACAGTAGTTATAACATCTGGAAACGGTGCGAGTAGGTGCTGAGGTGCAAAAATAAACTCTGCTCATCCTTCACATCTCCCTCATTTCACAACAAGATTTACTATTTTCCTTTGAAGGAAATGAGCCATTCTCACACATTCCAGAAAGAAGGCAACAAGAACACTTGCACTGAATAAGTCTGTGTTACGATTTCATAGACATCGTAGCCACTGATAAGATTACCATTATTGGGAGCCTTTCTTTGCTGGTATCTTGCTGCTTCCACCAGCTGAAGCAATAGGGCAGATTGCTGATGAGCTCAGGTAATGAAGGAGGGTGGTGAGCTAAATAACAAGTTAAAAGGTACCGGTACTGAATTGCTGCTGAGCCTGCGTGCTGAACTGAAACGGGTAATGACTGTAAAATTCATTTGCATTGAAGTCGATGAGGAAAAAGTTCTTTCCACTTGGGGCTAGAGGACACCAGTAATTTAATCAGCTCTCATGGTATTGTAATATACTGGGTAACCAGGTACCTAATAAAACAAAGGCTGTGTGTATAATAATTGGTTTCCAATTAACTTTCAGCACTATGGATCGTGATAAAGTTGGAGTCCCAACAGATGGAGATTCTCATGCTATCACGTACCCACCTGCAATAGTAATTTATATAATTGATCCTTTTACGTACGAGAGGAAGGATGAGAACAGTAGCTCATCCAGTGTGTGGACCCTTGGGCTGCTTCGTTGCTTTATGGAGATGGTTCAGATTCTTCCTTCCAGCATCAGGAATATAGTTTCTGTGCAGGTGAGATAACACTGACTGGAGGATTTTAAAACTTTACCTTTCATTACAGTTGGGTTTGGAGGAGGTAGTGTCGTCACTATCAAAGTAAGTTGTGTGTACTTTGATTTTGGCATTTGCTCAATGGTGCGATTTTTTTTTTTTTTTTTTTTTTTTTTTTCCATGGGAATACATATTTTTTTTTCAATTAAATATTTCAAAACTAGCCCAGCGGCTTCCAGATGGGATTATCGAAAGCGTGAGTGACGTGACTGACTACAGTTGTAGAGCCATGTTCCCAAAACTGTAAGGTGTGCCCCCTTCTGCAAGGCGCAGATCTAGCCTACAAAGACCTCTGAGGCTGGGAAAGTGGAAGTTGGCAGCTAGGGGAAGCCGTGGCAGAAGCAGCTGAGCGGGATGGCTGCTTGAAGGGACCCTACAGCACAGTAGGGGAAGGGCTGAAGCGAGCAAGTTATATTGAATCGGAGAGACCTGATCATAGAGAAGAATCCTAGGGAAAGCTAGCCAGACGCCGCCTTAAAGAATGAAAGCTGAGACAGTTTTTTTTTTTTTTTTTCCTATGTAAACTGCCCCCTAGTGGTAACATTTACTTCGTCTTGCTTTTCTAGATTGTCCCATGTCAGTACCTGTTACAACCTGTGAAGCATGAAGATCGGCAAATCTACACCCAGCATTTAAAATCCCTGGCATTTTCGGCATTTACCCAGTGCCGAAGGCCTCTTCCCACTTCAACCAATGTGAAAACTTTGACTGGTTTCGGCCCGGGGTTAGCAATGGAAACGGCTCTTAAGAGCCCAGATGTGAGTATTTCAATTACAAGATGTACTAACTAACTTGACTCCTGTACATTATTAGATTTTAACGGTACATATTCATTTCCGTGTCCTATTTGTATCTATTTTTTGTTAAAACTTGAAAGAGTTTTCAGTATTAACTAATTACAGTTGTGGATAACTGTTCTTTTAACGTGGTTACTTTTTTTTGTTTGTTTGTTTACAGAGGCCAGAGTGTATTCGACTCTATACTCCTCCTTTTATACTGGCCCCTGTAAAGGACAAGCAAACAGAGCTTGGAGAAACTTTTGGAGAGGCTGGACAGAAGTATAATGTACTTTTTGTGGGCTACTGTTTATCTCACGATCAAAGATGGCTTCTTGCATCATGTACAGATCTCTATGGAGAACTGTTAGAAACTTGCATAATTAATATTGATGTACCAAACAGGTAAGAAGCAGAGCTTGTAAACTAACTTTTAGCTCTAAAGCCTTGAATATATTAAGAACCTTGTCTCCCTCCGTCCTCCTCAACCTGCTTTGTGGATCAACTTTGTTCTGCTTTTGCCTCCTGTACAGAGAATGCTCTTTTTTAGTTTTTTTGAACCCATAATTTGAGTGGAGCCAGTTAAAGCAGCTGAGAATAAGCAATATTTACACGGGCTTTGAGTTACATTTCTGAAAAACATTTTAACTGGTTTCTTGGATTCTCCTCAGCATGCAAATAAAAGCTGAGCAAACGGGAAAGCAAGAGCGATCTTTCTTGCCCTTTGACTTTGGTTTTATAGAACTGATGCATTCAGAGCAAGAAATGACATACTTTACTGGTGTTTAATATTCACATCATTCCATAATTGCACTTAACCTTATGTTGCAAGATACTATAAGATCCAACTTGTGGTTGAACATCACTGTTTCTATGTCTGCTGACAATTTTTTGCTTAACATTCTTTGGAAAAATGTGTGTAGAATATAAAATACCAAATTTGACAGTAGAAATTCTTCATTTTCTTCCCCTTCCCCTCACCCGTATCTTCTCTTTCATAATCCTAGAGCGCGCAGGAAAAAGGGTTCTGCCCGCCGACTTGGTCTCCAGAAACTCTGGGACTGGTGCTTGGGACTTGTACAAATGAGCTCTTTGCCCTGGAGGGTTGTGATAGGTCGTCTGGGAAGGATCGGTCATGGAGAACTAAAAGGTAATATTAGAGCTGTCGGCTCTAGATGTTTGTTTTGAAACATTCACTTTCTTTAATTCATGCTGTAAAACAAAGTAGCCTTATGATTTGGCTTTTTACCCATGGAAACGAACCTAAATCCCTCTATCGTGCCTTCATATATCTACTACCTGATGAAGCCTTTGTGTAAGTGGGAAGTCATTAAGGAATCTGTGTGATTCACTTCATAATTTTCCTACCGTAAGTAATATAAATTTCCAAACGCACTGTTTTCTAAGTGGATACGTTAATGAATGACTTTTAATTTGCAGATTGGAGCTGTTTGCTGAGTCGCCGAAACCTCCAGTCCCTCAGCAAGAGACTAAAAGACATGTGTAGGATGTGTGGGATATCTGCTGCAGACTCTCCCAGCTTTCTCAGTGCTTGCTTGGTTGCAATGGAACCACAGGGGTCTTTTATTATTATGCCAGGTATTCACAAAACTCCTTCTATTGCTCCTTTTTTTTGTACCAGGAGACTTTTTTTTTTTTCTCTCTTTCATTACAATATACAGTCATGTTACAGTAAAAATTCTTCTTTGCTTCTCTTTAAAGATTCCGTATCAACAGGGTCTGTGTTTGGGCGCAGCACCACTCTAAATATGCAGACATCTCAGCTGAATACCCCACAGGACACGTCATGCACTCACATACTGGTGTTCCCTACATCCGCTTCTGTGCAAGTAGCATCGTCGACCTATACCACTGAAAATTTGGACCTGGCCTTCAATACAAACAATGGTTAGTCAGCGTGCATGCGATTTAGCATGGCAGAATAACCCCCATAAACCTTCTTGTGCATTGGAATAAAATTGCCATTCCCGTGACGTAGTACAAGTCTGCCGACTCCTTGATCTCAGAACAAAACTTCTCTATACTTTGCGTTTGTAGAAATAGAAAACCTTATATGTTTGTTTCTTTCTTCTCCCCCCCCCCCCCCCCCCCACAGATGGAGCAGATGGAATGGGTATCTTTGATTTGTTAGACACTGCAGATGAACTTGATCCTGATATTATTAATATCCTTCCTGCATCCCCCACTGGGTCCCCTGTACATTCACCGGGATCCCATTACCCTCATGGAGGTGATATGGGCAAGGTAACTATTAAAAGCGTAAATACCAAAGCTTTTTTCCATATCGGTTCCTCCAATTTTATGCTAATTTGATTTGTGAAATCGTTTTATGAAACAACAGTCCTTACGAAATAATGCCTTGCGTCACTGTCAAACCAAAGCTATTTGCAAGCTGTTGACGTGCTACTTCCTAATATTTATCTTTTTCCTTTTTTTTTAACCTGCTGTTTACAGGGTCAAAGTACAGATCGATTGCTTTCCACGGAATCTCACGACGAAGTAACAAATATTCTACAACAACCATTGGCCCTTGGTTACTTTGTGTCAACTGCCAAAGCAGGTCCATTGCCTGACTGGTTTTGGTCAGCATGTCCTCAAGCACAAAATCAGTGTCCCTTGTTTCTTAAGGTACCGTACATCAGAAAACTGTAGTTCTCTTTGTGAGTGTGCAGTGTGGTGGTCTAGCTAAGTGTGCACCAGACAGGAGAGATGCATTCAGCCCCAAGAGATTTAAAATACAGTACATGAGAATACTGCGAGCTTTGCTCTTCCTGGAGACGCACACGATCTTTTTGTTTTCTTTTGTTAAAGAGCAGTCAGGTTTTATGCAGATTTGAGCCAAAGATCTTTTGTTCGCTTTCGACAAAAAATGAGAGACATTGTTAACGGGAGCAGCAAACGTTCAGAAGGGTTCTGTTCTCTTCTGAGCCATCTCTTCACACACTTGTTCAACAAGAATGATGTGTCGTTCCCCCTCCCCTCCCCTCTTACAACTGCAGCTTTGTTTACTTTCTCTTAATAGCTGTGTACTGCAGCATCTTGCAAAGAGATGTATTATACTAAGTGTTTGGCTAGACCTCTCCAGATCTTTGGCTCGAATTTACTTTTCCCACTTTTTGCGTCCTTTCCAAATAAGAGTAGCGCTTTAGCATAATGATCTATTTAAATTTGGTAAAAGTACTCTGTTTGCTTATTATGCAAACCACAGAAGCTGGATTCCGTCTTGGTATTCTTTAGGAAAGCATGAGAGGGGAATAATTCCTAGGTGGTCGGTGACCCGTTCACCAGAGATTCTTTTATCACCGTACGTTGTTTTTCTTGGTTCTGTTGTACCTTTGCATTTTGACTTGCCCAAGTCTAAGATAACACATAACAGTATCAGACAAAGAAAATGCATCTGTCCAACAGAAAAAAGAAGAATTAAACTAGTCTTCACGTGCGTCATGCATTAAGAACCACATTTGTAATGTGTTCTGATGATGGGGAGTTTTTCTTCCTCACACTTTTATTGTGGGCGGGGGAGTGTGCGGGTGTGTAATTTCTCTCTTTATAGGTTGTGTTTTGATATAAAGAAGGCTTGGACAGATTAATTTAGACTAAGTGCTCATAATCCAATTGTTTGCATTTTATTTATTTAATATATTTAAATAAAATGGAAACAAGTGGATTATGAGCACTTAGTCTTTCTAAATTAATCTGTCCAAGCTTCCTTTATACCAAAACAGAGACTATGAAGATTACAGTATTTTGTAGCTTTTTTTTATTCCACCACTTACCGAGTTCTAATGTGTTGCAAATTGCACCACTTAATACAGTTTCCTGTAATAAAAGACACAAGTGCTTACAGGCAACAACTGCACTGCAAAGACTTGGTACGACATGGGCAACTGGTGCCTCCTGAGTCGGGGGGGGTCCCCCATGGCCGATTGCCAGGCCAGCGGCACAACCGGAAGTGCACTTCCAGTTTCATGGCTAGCGCTTCCAGAGGGTGCACAGCCGATCTCAGGGGGTGCACGTGCACCTGCGTGCACCCCTTACGTGTCACCAATGTGGTACAATGTCAGAAATTTATACCTGGCATAAGTGGATGAATTTAGGAGAGTTGTTTCCAATTTACTCCTTTTGTTGAAATCAAGGTTTGGCAACTGATGGCCCACAAGGGCCAGATCCTACCCATGGAGCCTTTGGATCCAGCTTGTGGAGCCATGGCATTCAGTGATTTGCTCTACACAGGTTAGCTGCCTGGGACTCTGGCAGAGGAGGAGCTTTCCTCATGTCACACCCAGGGCAGGCGGCCTGGACCCCAGTGAAGGGGGGCTTCAGCTGGGCCTTGATACAGCTGAGTGATGGGGAGAAGCAGTGGCAGTGGCTGGGTGCTAACGTCAGCTTGCCTCTGACCTGTGCAGGATCACTCCAGTCCCCCGCTGGAAAATGTTGCCATCCCCTGGGCAAAATAATTATCTTGGCTGTTATTAGTTGTTTGCTTTTTTAAGAGATTCTCCCCATGTTTTCAGCATAACACATTAAGAAAAGGCAGCAGTCAGCTGACCTGTAGCTGTAGAAATATTCCTGTATTTATTGATTGTACAAAATTTAAAACATAGTTTGCCTTTACTCTAGGAATCAACTAAAAGGTAGAGCGTATCAGGTAAAAACAAAACAACAGGGAAGTCTGTTGTAAATATTGCAAGTGCTAGGTGATAATGTGTCTCCTTCCTTCCTAGGCCTCTCTGCACCTCCATGTGCCTTCAGTGCAATCTGACGAGCTACTCCACAGTAAACACTCCCACCCGCTTGATTCTAATCAAACTTCTGATGTCCTCAGGTATTGGTGCTTTATTAGTTAAGCATGAAGTATGGGATATTTGTGTAAGATAATTGCCTGACTTCATTACAGCATATAATTTGGTTCTCTTGCTGCAAGGTTTGACAGCATGATGATAATGGACCGTGTGCTCTGTAAAGGATAATACAGATCACAGGATGCTTAAAACATGGCGTTAGCATGTGATGCCTTTAAAAAAGTTGCTACTTATTTTGGCCTATTTAAGTTGGTAGGCTGAGTTCAAGTAGTGAGGTGGGAACAGGAAGAGGAGGAATGTCTGCTAGAGAAGGGACAGAGAGGTCTGGGCATAAGGGTCACCCTGAAGGACGATACAAAGGAAGCAGTTACGAGCAGGAGGTTTGGATGTGGCGTGGAAGTCAGCAGAGACTGGAGCAGGCACTGAATTGTGTAAACTAAACGGGGCATTCGCAGACGAGAAAATGTTAAACAGATTTTGTTGAAATGTCTTTTGTTGTGTACTGAACATAACGACTATCTGGTAGCACAACTGTGTGCCACTTAAACAGAAAGCAGGTGGTATTGGCTTTGATGACCTGCTTCGGAGAACAGTGACTCGGAGGCTAGCTGTTTATGAGCTGACTAGCCTAACTTCGGTGCATGCGTATGTGTTGGAGTTTGTGTTCAAGTGTTTAGCTTACGGCAAACCTGCAATGTCATGAGATGCGTCTTACTTGTTTGTGAAACATTTTTTTCTGAAAGTGGTAGTGGAAAGAGCTGTATAGGTTTCATGGGAGTTTTGTTTGCGTTCTAGGTTTGTTTTGGAACAGTACAATGCACTCTCCTGGCTAACCTGTGATCCTGCAACCCAGGACAGACGGTCGTGTCTCCCAGTTCATTTTGTGGTGCTGAATCAATTGTATAACTTTATCATGAATATGCTGTGATCTTCATCTGAACTTTGCAAGAAAAGAACAAGGAAAAGGGATATTTCATTGCAGGACTAAGTTACACTTCTCAGTGCAAGTCATTTGTGATGGGGTATAATTCTTGTTACTTCCAACAAATATTGTTTTGACTTGTGATGGGGCACATATAACCCTGCTGTCTTTGTTTCATTGACTATACAGGACTCTTTAGAATGATGATCAGACAAAATGTATTATAACATTTTTAGTAGCAAAATTAACCATTTTCCCCAGTCACAGTATTTGTGAAAAGTAATGAGCCATAGTACCCAGTCATGTTTAATGAATATTAAAAGCATGGAGATGAGAAGAGACATGAGGAACCATAAGTTTCTACCTATGGCTTCAGAACATCAAGATGTTCTTGTATTGGATTATAGTACCTAGTATTCGAAAATGCCTGCATCTCTCTTATTTATTGTAAGTTTTTAAATGTATAAATTGTCTTATATTTCTTAACCTCTTTTATAAAAATTTTCCTAGAAGGTTTATACTGCCTTCTTGCTTTAAAGCAATTGGTCTAAAATATATGTAATCGTCTTAATTAAAAGTTGCAGTAGGTTGCTTTTAGAGTATTATTTTTTTGTAAGGGGGTGGGTGGGGACAGTAAATTTGTATTGTCTTGATGTACAGTTTAATGGGGATAGAGGGGTTAATGTCCATACCATTGTGTGTGGGGGATTTACAGCTAAGCTGTAGTTGCAGAGTACATGTACAGTAATGAAGTTCACTGTGTTTATATAAATTGAAAAGGTACCGGGTCTTACAGCATTTTATATCACACCTTTACAGAGTAACAATGGCAATATATAAGTGATATTGTAGGTGGTTTAACTTGTAGTGAGAATAAAATGAATAAACTCTCAATTTAATTTTGTGTTATGGCTCAGAACTTTGGCTAGCTTCAGGCTCCAGTTGCTGGGTTTATTTAGTCCAAGAATACCTGCTACGCAGTGTGTAGCTAACCAGGAGTTCTTGGCATTGCGTTCTTGCATTCTTTAAGATACATATTTCATTGCAAAGATGAAACCGAACATCCAGGCATGGGAAAAAACATGAGGAAATTACCCCCAAGTCTCCTGTAAGGCTGAAACTTAGCTCAGCTCTAGCCATTTCACAAATGCAAAAACAGTCAATCTTGACTTTAAGATTGGTGTGTGTTTAACTAAAATGTGGTGTATATAGATTCTCAGTGAATTCTGGTATTCAGACCAAACTCCACTAGTAAAAAAAAAAAAAAAAAAGAAAAAAAAATCCATTTTCCTTTTTAATCTATTTTTGGCACTGTGGTGAAGGTCCCAGGTAATCATTGTATGAGTTTTTTCCGCCTCTGATTCCAGCCAGGGCATGTGCCAAGGAGGCTCAAAACTCCCTGAGGAAGGGACTCAGGAGGCTTTCATATACCTCTTCTCCCTCTACAATCAGCAGCTTTCTTCACTTAACACTTTTCCTTTTACTTGCACATGCCAAATCAGTAATGCTTCTCTAAAACGGCCCCTACGGGTGCCCACGAGCAATTCCTTTCTCATGGTTCCTTGTCCTCCGACCCCCAGCTTAAGAATTTACTTCTGCAGCGTCCTTCTCAGCTGAATGTGGGAACCCATGATAACCGAGCACCCGGGTCTCACTGGACAAACCGAGCCATCCGTTTTGCCAGTTAAGCCTTTTAAAGGAGCAAGACTTAAGATCCCTTTGTGCACCCACTGCTAAATCCTCTACAAGGACAAAGTCGTTTGTATTTACAAAACTGGATTTGGTAGTTTGTACAGAAAATCATGTTTTGTGAATACAAAATGTTTGCCTGAAATATCACTTTTCATATGAACAAACATCAAACCTCTTTGAATTGTGTATATACAATACTAGCGACCTTTGTGGTTTTGTATGAAGAAAATGTACAATTGGTGACAAAGGTTTTCAGTCACTTCTTCAAAACAACATTAGTGCAATCAGAAGTCAGCATATTTTGATATTAAAGTAAAAAAACTGGGTGTCTGCATTATTAGTATTTTTTTTATTATGCTAATGCATCACAGATTGAGTAGCATGTTACTTTGTTTGAGAGCATTTTTTCACGTGGCTGAGATCTGAGGGGGGAAAATGCTCTTTAGCCTGGAATCTTCAAAGCTTCCTTCCTTTTTTTTTTTTTTTTAGCTGGTTACTTTTAAACCTGTCTTAATGTTAATGAACCTCTTTAGCGTGGAACTTGTTAGCAGTGGGCTGTTTAAAATGTGACTGACTTGTATTCATCAGGTAAGTGAGCCAGTTGCCTGAACAGCGGGGTCCCGATCATTGTGCAGTCATGCTAACCTTCTGTGAAATATACCACTAGTATTTTTCAAATACAGTAAAAACGGAAATTAAAATACTGTAACCACTAGAAGAGATCAGGAGGCCCTTCTGATGAGTCTTTTTAGAAACCGTTTATGCTGGGAGATTTTTCCTGGCTTGGCATCTTTTTGCCAACAGCGTACATATCAAAACTGCCAGCACTGAGGAGCTAAGGTACTTGTTTTACTTCTAAATAAATGACTTTCACCTTACGAATCAATTTGCCTAATGATATCAATCCCACTGTTTAAAGTGCATATAATTACTGATGTAATAATAATACTGTGACAGCCAGCTAACAAGATAATTTATACTGATCACTGACAGGTTCAGCTGCAACGTCTGTACTTACCATTGCTCCTGACAGCTCTTATTAAGTAGTAGTTGTGGAACTTTTATTAAATGTATTGGCTACACATGGGATTCTTCCAGCCAGTCAAAAAGGAAAAAAAAATCTAGCCATACTCTATTTATGCAAGCCATTCAGTTATCTGGGCTGGGCTGTAACAGTGTATGGATTAGACTCCTTGTACACACTATGGTTTGGCCCCTTGGCTACCCAGTGTACTTGCGTATGGCCCTTGCATTTTAAAGTAAACGTCATTTTTAAAACTTTCTAACCCTTTCAGAATAAAATTAAAATTTTAAATCCTCAGCTATATTCTTACTCAGCTGTCAGTATGGCACAGATTATGATGCTCTCCTTTCATCTTCACATTTACCTTCTATGATTTTTTTTTTTTTAAACCATGTGTTGCTGCAAAGATTTGCAGATGTCTTTAATTGAGCACTATTAATACTGTAATATCAAAATATTATGTTGCATTATTTAAAAATTCAAAATGTAATAGAGGAAAAGGTTTTAAAAAATGCTATTGCACCATATAGTTCGCTGCACAACAGTCTATGGCATAGCATATCAGTCGGTTTTAATATTATCCATGTAATGTTTTGATCTGGGTTTCTTCTGAGAATCCAGTTTCTCAGCTGAGAGTTTTGTCTCGCAGTATCTCTTAAACACAAAGGTGGACAGTGAGTGTCTGTGTCTCTCTCTCTTTCTCTCTCGTACTAATTGAAAGACCCAGAACTACACTTAACTGTTTAGAAAACCTTATTTGGGGGTGTACTCTTTATTTTCAATGGAGTAAAACTTCATTTACAGTAAAACTGGATTTGGGACCTACAACAATCCTCAGGGTCACTTTTTCAGAAGTTTTAATATAGCTTTAGGGGTTGTTTTTTTTTTTCCAAATAAACTGGATTTGTGGACCTTGTAAACCTATTTAAATTGCAAATTGTGGCATCATTACTGGACATGTCAGCTTCAAGAAAGCTTCTCCCACCAGCTGGGTCACTTTAAGAAGGGGAGTGTCTAAGTTCTCGCTCAGCCGCGACACGAAATGGTCCAAGTCGTCTTATTTAACGTGACAGGAAAATGAAATAAGGAACAAAAACAAACAAACAAAAAAACACTATTGCTGCCGAATGCCATAAACACTGAGTTGTACAAATTGTGATTGAGGAAATGAAAAGGTTTATACTTTTTAAAAAAAAAAATTCAAATGGAATAAATTATTCATGAAGCCTTGATTGGTGGTGTCTCTTTATTTCCAACCCCCACGCGGAGCCTCGAGTTGGGCCCGCGCTCGACGCACGCCGCGGTGGGAATTCAGCGGCTCTCGACCCCCTGCACATTTTTTTCCCCTCGTGCTGTGGACGACGACGGAGAGGAGGGCCTGGTGCGGCGGGAGCGTCCCTGATGTGTAAAGCAGGAGCGGCTCTCCTCCAGCCCCGAAATACTGGGTTCTTGAAGAGGACGGAGCCCAGGCCCAGGCTGATGGGCAAATTCAGTTTCTCTTGGTTTTTGCCCCTTGATTTGATAGAAATTCAGTTTCTTTTGGTTTGTTTGTTTGTTTGTTTTGGGGGTTTTTTTTGCCCCTTGATTTTGAAGCACTGCAGCTAATCTGTTTGTCTGTTTGTGTTTTGTTGTTTTTGACCCTTGACTTTGAAGTAAGCCAAGCTGCGGCCTGTCCTGACAAGCCTCCCCTGTAACGCAGCAGCAGCAGCTGCCCCACCTTCCCCCGCGGGGACTCGGTTCCCCTCTCTTCCCCATCTTGATTTTGAAGGCGGAGCCGAGGGCCCGGCCCGGCACGGCACCATCCTGCGGGGAGGGGGACACTGGAGCCGCCACAGCCCAGACTTCCGCCCCGCCCCTGGGCCTGAAGCGGAGGGTCCGGCGCCGGCTTCCGCTACGGGTCGTCATTTCCTGTGCGCCCGCGCAGCGTGACACCGCCCCGGCCGGAAGTGGGCGGGGCGGCCTCGGGCTGAGGGGAGGTGGGTCGCGGTGTCGGTGGCGGGGCCCTCATCTGCGGGGTGGGGTGCGCCGTGGGGCCGGAAGCCGGGTGGCGGGGCTGGGGCAGTTGTGGGGCCAGGGCCCAGCAAGGAAGCGACCCGCCCACCCCCAAGGGAGGCCGCTCAAGGCCCCGCAGCTGGTGTTGGGGGGGGTTGCGGCCGTGCCCCCCGACGTGCCCCGTGTCCCTCGTGCAGGAGTGAGGGGAATACCACCTCTTCCAGCCCCCGCTTGGCCAGAGCCGGGAGGGAGGTCCCGGGACGCGGAGGAGCGGAGCCCCTTCCCCACCGCGTCGTCTCACCCGTCTCTTGGCGCTCGCGCGCAGGGCAGCGGCGGGGGGGGGGGGGGCCCGGGGGGGCGGATCGCGCAGGGCAGCGGCGGTGGCGGCGGCGCCATGGCGGAGTGCTCCAGCCTGCAGTTCGTCAGCCCCTACGCGTTTGAAGCGATGCAGAAGGTGGACGTGGTGCGCCTGGCGGCGCTGAGCGACCCCGAGCTCCGGCTCTTGCTGCCTTGCCTGGTGCGCATGGCCTTGTGCGCGCCCGCCGACCAGAGCCAGAGCTGGGCGCAGGACAAAAAGCTCATCCTGCGGCTCCTTTCCGGCGTGGAGGCCGTCAACTCCATCGTCGCCTTGCTGTCCGTGGATTTCCACGCGCTGGAGCAGGACGCGAACAAGGAGCAGCAGCTTCGGTAACCGAGAGGATACGCGCGGTCTGCGCGCTCGTGTCTTGCAAGGGCTTCGTTTGACTGTTGCCCGCGTCTCGTTCTTGTCCTGACGCGGCTTTGCTTTACTGCTGCAGCTCGTTACTTGTTCCTTGGGCTCGGTAGGATGACGTTCGAGGAAGGAGGGTGGGATTTGTTTACGTATTTATTTAGCTTTGAGCGTCATACCCAGCACCTAGCCAAGGGACAGTGATGCGCATTAACTGGAGACCTGTCCCATCTTTCTGGACCAGGGCAAAGAGAAGACTATGAGGCCTCCAGTAGGTTAAGAAATAGAGGCTTTCTCAAGCCCTGTCTTCTGAGGTGAAAACTGAGAGCCAGGGTTGTACGAGTACGCTTGCTTGACTGTGGTTTGTGTGCAGATCGCAGGACACACCCGTGTTTTGACAGCGAGTTAACTTTGCCATTCAGGTGGGTTTGGTGTTTGAAACTCGATGGTGTCAAAGTCCCGGTGCTGCTCTCTGGCTAGCTGGACCCCCAGCAAAGAATATTTGTCGAATGAGCGAGTGTGAATGCATTGTCTGTTTGTTTTCACCAAAACGCACCTGGTTTCTGTGGCGTTTTTGAACGGCTGTTCTCACATTTCAATGATTTATTAGGCTCAAACTCGGAGGAGGTAGTGGAGAAAGCATCTTGGTTTCGCAGCTTCAGCACGGTCTGACATTGGAGTTTGAGCACAGTGATTCTCCGCGCCGGCTTCGGCTTGTGCTTAGCGAGCTGTTAGCGATTATGAACAAGGTGAATTTCTGTTTCATTCCTTACCACGTGCGTGAATTGATGTTGGTGGACGTGGAAAAAAAATCAAGCATGGGTATACATGGCTTCAGGCCTGCGCTTCATGCTTGGGGCAATGGAGATCCTTTTTGTTCGGTCACATTTTGTTTTATTTAAGGCAGGGGCATGGAGGTGTTTTTAGTTACTAGCATCTACGTAGCCGGGGCTTCCAAACTAACAACAAAAGCTTAAATTGGTATCCCATGTTTTGGGAACAAATACACCTCGATTGGTTTCTCTAGTTTCTCTCATGACAATTCAGAGCTATGTTCACCTGGCCTAGGTGCCTGCTTAAATATTTTTTAGCAATTCTCTGGTTTTTAGGCAACTTTATTACAAACAATCATAATAAACTGGGCATGTTGCAAGTGTGCTGGGTCTGTTTTCACATAGTTAATCCTTTGCGTTCAAATCCACGGGAATTTGATGTGAAGTAACTGAGTTATACTGTTTACTCACTTTATTACACTTGTATTATGATGATAACCTCCTATTCCAGGTGTCGGAGTCAAATGGTGAATTTTTCCTTAAGTCTTCGGAGCTCTTCGAGAGCCCGGTCTACTTGGAGGAGGCAGCAGACGTTCTGTGTATTTTGCAAGCAGGTGTGCAGTCCTTTACTTACGAACCTCTCCGTACCATCACTTTTAAATGGTCAGCAAGTGACTGACATAGTTTTAATTTCAGAGCTTGTTTTAGACTGAAAACAATGGCTTTTAAAATCCTGTTTCCATTCAGAGCTGCCTTCACTGTTGCCCATAGTCGATGTGGCAGAAGCCCTGCTTCATGTTAAAAATGGAGCCTGGTTCCTGTGCCTCCTTGTGGCCAATGTTCCTGATAGCTTTAATGAAGGTAAGTTGTCGTTTCTTGTTTGGCATTTTTCCTTCCAGGAATTTATAACCCCTTCAGCAAAAATTAATTGCAGCCCAAAATGTAGCATAAAACAGTACTAGCCTTGAGGCACTTGCCTGCACATGATTCAGCCCTAAGGGGCTTCCTGCTTCTGCCACTCACCTCCCTTCACAGCACCTCCTCCTGTGGCTGACTCCCTGTGCTATCATCTCAATATGAGTCTTACCCAGGTCAGTAGTGACAAAGGATGGTAATGCTGTGGAGTCGCGGCCTGTTTCTGCACTAGCATCCCCCTTGCCAAGCTGTTATTACTTTGTACCTACTGCAGAGGTGAGGGAATGAATGGTCCTGGAGACAGAACTGCTCTTGCAATCATAGTTGTTGCTTCAGGTCAGGCTGCAGGGTGGGAGTAGAGGAAGAGCTTGCAGTGCTCTTATCCAAGCTGTATCTCAACTTGGACCGAGGACTTCACTGTCCAGGGCCGTCCCATACATCACCTGACTTAACAAGGGGCATGAGTAGTTGAAGTCAGTTTGGATCAGGCTTTAGTCTGTATCATCACTGTAAGTTCTGTGGGACAGGCACTGTCTCTGTTCGGTTTGTATAGTGTCCTAGCACAAAATGGCCCGGGTCCAGGAGCAGGGCTCTTCAGCCTGGTGGTAACACAAGTAGAAAAAACAATGTTGAACTGAATGGCCCATTCCAGTGGGCTGTGTGTATATGGGAAGAGCTGCCTTCCTAGTGCAATAGGCAGAATACTTAGTCCCAGCCTTGTGCCCTGAATGCTTAGTTTGCAGAGGCCTGATCAAGAACGGCGAGCGACAAGATGAAGAGAGCATCGGAGGCCGGCGCAGGACTGAGGCGCTTCGTCACCTGTGCAAGATGAACCCCTCCCAGGCGCTGAGGGTCCGAGGAATGGTGGTAGGCCTCAGATCAGGTTGTTATGGGGTAGCACGCGAGACCTGATTATTCTCTAGCATTTAGTTGAGGACATCCAGTGAGTGGAGACTCACCCTTTGGCTCTCTTCCAGGTGGAAGAGTGCCATCTTCCAGGCCTGGGAGTGGCCTTGACCCTGGATCACACAAAGAATGAATCCTCGGAGGATGGCGTGAGCGACTTGGTGTGCTTCGTGAGCGGTTTGCTGCTTGGAACGAACGCAAAAGTGCGGACGTGGTTTGGGACTTTTATCCGGAACGGACAGCAGGTTAGAACAAGCCGAGTGTTCCCTGGGAAGCTCCAGCTTGTGAGTGTGAGCAGATTCTCAGGGATCCTGCTGTACCACTGGCTGCAAAGCCAGGGTTATGGCAGCTGAGGCTGGTCCCGTGCAGCTTCACAGGTCAGGCGGTTGTGGAATGGAGGTCGCCAGTGGGTGCCACCTAGTGGCTCCTTCTAGGGCTGTCCTGTCTCGGTGACTTTAAATATGCAGTCTCGTAGCCATGGGAACGGGTGAACCATAGATCAGTGTTTACTGAGCATATTGTCAGTCTCACTACAGTTTATTTCACACCCAGTACTGCACAGTTGGGCACTGATTCAGTGGCTTGCTGGGATTAGGTAATATCTGTATTTTGCTGAAACGGGGCATTGTAATGTAATCCTGCTCTGGCTGCTCCCTACCCAGTGAAACAATGGTGTATGCATTTCCTTTGAGAACTTGGCTGTGCGAGTTTACTGTAGAGTTGTCTTAATTACTGCAGCTGCCATGCCCTGTACTAAAATGGGCAACATGATGAATTTTCCTACAACTGCTGTGTCTTGTACCTTTTAATTTCTCTTGCAGAGAAAAAGGGAAAACATCAGCTCTGTGCTCTGGCAAATGAGAAGGCAGCTGCTCCTGGAGCTGATGGGGATTCTTCCCACGGTTCGCAGCACACACATTGTGGAGGAAGCAGAT